TTAAATAGCCGATAGAATCTTGTCAAAGAAGAGCAAAGTTCGGTAACTCACATGTCTCTGTTTCAAAACTTACTACAGTGCTACATTAATCTAAACAGTGGGGTAGTGGCATAAGGACAGACATATAGACCAATGGAATAGAACTGAGATTTTAGGAATTAACCCATATTTCTATAGTCTATTAATTTTTGACAACGGAGCCAAGATCATTCAATGAAGGGAAAGAACAGTGTTTCCAACAAATGATGCTGGAAAAACTGGATATCCACATGTAAAAAAATAAAGTTGGACCTTCACCTTTTTTTTCCCCTTAATATTTCTGGCTAGGAATTCCAATACTATGTTGAGTAGAAGTGATGAAAGCAGACAAACTTGTCTTGTTCCTTACTTTAGAGGAAGACCTTTCGCTACTGAATAAGATGTTGTCTGTTGACTTTTCTTATATGGCCTTTACTACCTTGAGTTAGTTTCCTCCTATTTCTAGCTTATCATGAAAGGGTGCTGCATTTTGTCAAATACTTTTTCTGCATCAACTGACATAATTGTGCATTTTTTCCTTCAGTCTGTTAATGTAGTGTATTATGTTGATTGATTTTCTTACGTTTAATCATCTTTGCACCACAGTAATAAATTTCACTTGGCCCTCGTGTGTAATCCTTTTAATGTGCTGTCTAATTATGCTCACGAGTTGAGGATTTTTGTATTGATAATAATCGGGGATATTGGCTTGTAATTTTCTTTTTGTGTACTGTCTGTCTGATTTCAGTGTCAAGGTAATTTGACTTCATAGAATGAGTTTGGAATTCTGAAATGTTTTGGAAAAGTTTGAGGCAGATTGATGTTAATTTTTCTTTAACTGTTTGGTGGAATTCAGCAGTGAAGCCATATGATATCTGCTTTTCTTTGTTGGAAAGTTTTGATTACTAATTCAATCTTCTTATTAGTTATAGGTCTCTTCATGTTTTCTATTTCTTCATGGTTCAATATTGGTAGGTAATCTAACATATGACTTATCCTGGAGACGTTCCATATACACTTAGAAAAATGTGTATTCTTCTATTGTGTGAGTGTTCTGTCTTGTTTATCCATCTTTCTAAGTTAGATATAATGTTCACTGTCTTTTTTAAAAATAAAGTAATTCATTTTGTTTGTATATATTTGGGGATTGACTTTATTACCTTGTTTTGCATCCTACAAAAACCACCAGATTTCATTATCTGTTGTGTTATTTTTGTTATGAACTCTTATCAGATCTTTTACTTTTGAAAATTATCAGTAATAAATTAACCACAGCCATTTTAAGTCTTTTCTATCATCTACAAACGTTTATTGTATTACCCTGGTGCTTTCCTTAAGATGCTTACAATCAGTTACACATTCTTTATCTTCAACAAAGAAAAGCTGTCTCAGAGTCTTGTGGAAAAGGAAAATTCCAGGTACTCTTGGGCACAGGCTTCTGACAGTATCGCTTATGCAACTTTTAGATTATACCAGCGGACAATTCAGGATTTCCAGAGTTCTAGTAGAGAAGCAGATGGGTTCATGTCATGCAGTTGCTACCCAAGATTGAAGAGAACAAGAATTAATTGCATAGGACCAAATGAACTGATGAGGGATGATTGTGTGTTTTGTTTGGAATATTGTTGATGTTTAATGCTTTATATTATGGATATATAAGAAACCCCTTTCTCTTTTCATATAACTCATAACAACTTAGTAGATTATACTTTTGTAAACAGAAACGACATTTGTAAATGATACCTTTTTCTCCTTCTTGACTCCTCCAGAATTTGGAAACTCTTATTGAGTATTCTTATTTTAATGCCAGTATAACTGTTTGCATAATAAAGTTCAATAAGAGTTTGTCATCCTTGTCAACAGGACATAATTGGAAACAATGGTTATACAACCAAAGCTTCAACTGGAATGTTGTATTTGAGAATTATGCTCATTTAATCAGTTACGACCAGATACTTTAGGGATCTAAGGTTGACTTTATAGAACCGATGCTTGCAAAACTCTCTTTAAAAAAAACTGGTCTGGTATCTGGCTTACAAGGTTCTCAGCTTTTCAAGTATGTAAGGAATGTCACTCCCAGGCAAGCCCGGAAAACTTAAGATATTTGGGGGACCTTGAGAAGAATTGGCCCAAATTTATAGGTACTGTAAGCAAAATTTGGTAGTAAGTTATTGGTTTTGTTTTCCAGCCACAAGAAACTTTAAAAAATCCCATCTGAGATTCCTTACAAAAACTTCCAGAAAAGCAAACTTAAGTTCTATCTGGTAAATTACCACTTTTTGCTGCAGCTATGTAGATAATTAGGCTAAATCTAATGAGACCAGCCTTATTTTGTTATTTTGTGAGCAAGAATAACCTTTCTTTGAAACTATTCTTGATCAAAGGTGGAGGGATGTGATTCAATGGAAAATTATTCATAGTCTATAGTAGGCCCTAGGGGTTGTCAGAGTCTAGCACTGTTCTTTAAACTATTTTGCAACTTTTGGTAAATTGTAGGTAACTGAGAGATGCATAAATTATGTCCTTCAGGTTAAGATATAATTGAGTCTCCCTCTCCCCAGTTGAAAAACCACTTTTGCCTCCTTTTGCAATCAGTCTCAACATTTCCTTAAGCTGTATACATCTGTGCTGTTTGACTTTTTCTTCGAACCAGTTAAAACATGTCAAATTTCTACACTGGATGATTAAAATAAAATCTTTAACACTTGTTAATTTTTACATTTGTATGAATTATGATTTTACCTTTTTAATGAAAATTTGCTTTTAACAGATTGAATAAATGATAAGTTTTAGAAATAGTACCACCAAAAATGGTTCAGAACTAACTTTTCATTAATATACCTTTTACAGACCATTTAAATTCTTGTAAGATATATGCCTATTTACTGTTCAGATGATAGAATTTAAAAACTAAAAAAATTTTTAATTGCATATATATATATGTGTATATATATATATATATACAGTAACTATGAAGAAGTCACTAGCAGTACTAGTCATGATATGGGGAAAGAGGAGAAACTGAAACAAGAAATTCCTCTGAAGGAAGATCTACCTTCGTCTGAATCATTTGACATGACTGAAGTGCCATGTCAAGGCACTGCTTTTTCCATGCAACCAGAACAGAAAGGATCAGAAAAAAAACTGAATAGAAGGGTTCAAAGCTCAAAGGTGCAAGGGTGCAGAAGAAAAATCGAGATCCAGTTCTGAAAATGAAAGTTTGCCCTGTTTGGAAAATTTAAATAATAGATACATTTAAAATGTAGTTTGTAATAAAGAATCTTGTTAATTTCATAACAGTCTCTTTTACTTACAAGTGTTAATTTTGGAGAAAAAATGAGAAGCAAATGTTGACTACTTAAAGCCTGAATATTTTATTAATTCCAAGGTATTCTGTCAACTTGGTCTTTGTTTGCCTTATGATACAGAAGTAGCATTTACAATTATTCTTTCAAAGAATACTGTTTGCATATGTTGCCTTTGTAATTCAACCTAAATGTACAGTTTTGTATGAGATCTGTAATAGATCTTTACAGAAAAATGTAAGCTTTCAATTGATTTACAATTATATTCAATTAATTACTTTTGAATTTACAGGCATTTTTGTACCCCTATTATTAAAGGTTTTGCAACTAAATACTTAAAAATCTACTTTTTCCTTGAAATTTCTTTAATAATATACTAAGAAGGCAAGAAGCTATCAGAAGTTAATTCTGATAACAGAAAAATTATTTACATAGAAAAGATGTTAAAGAGAATTTTGAAATTAGAAAACCAAACACCGGAATGTTTCTTATTGTTGCTGGTTTTTTCCAATTTTTGTTTTTGTTTTTTAGTAAAATGCCACTGATGTGTCTTGGTTCCCCAAAACCCACAAGATAAAGTACAAACATCTAATTAGTGCACAAAAGACCTTTTGCCTACCTTTCTTGCAGCCACTCCTGGTCCTAATGTAGCTGAACTTCACACCATTCCCCCAAACACTCTATTCACTTCCTTCACATTGATCCCTCTGTAACATCTATTCTCCAGTTTATCTGCCCAGAAAATTCCTATTTATTCTTCAAAACTAACTCAAAGGATACTTCCTTTTCAATGCCTTGCATGTCATTCCCAGAAAGAATGTCTCCCCATATGCATGGCAACTTCACAATCTGTTTCATCACATTTACATTACAAATATCTGTCTCCCACTAATATGTTAGCCTTTTACCCTTAGCACCTAAGATGGACCTTGACACATTGGCATTTGTCAATAAGGTTTTGATGAATTAAAGAATAGAAAACAAAGCTGTATCATCAAAAGCCTTGGGGTTAATACAGGAGAAATTCGAGGGCTTTCAATATCCAAACTAAAAAGTAGCTGATTGGAATTATTTGTCAATACGGGAATTGGATGGCAACAAAACAGGGCTGAGAAGTCCAGGACCAGAAAGAGAAAAATAGGCTCTACAAGATAAAATGGGTCACTTAAAAAGGAGATGTAGCAGATGAATAGCAGAGGGGAACACTTGAATCACAGGGCTTTGAACATCAAGCCCAGTTTTCTCTATGCATATACACCTTCATATGGCACTTGAAGTTGTCCATGGCCTGGCTCTATCCTGCATGTTATACTTTATATTTCACCATTCATTTTCATGTGTGAGTGTACTCTCTAGTAAATAAAATTCCTTTCTTTTATGAAACATGCCCCTTCTCCTTAGATTCCATGCCATTGTTCTTAGGATTTCCTGCCTCTGCTCAAAATGCAGAACAACTGCCACCATCCTCATGCAATTTACCATGATTCACCACCTGGATTTAAGCTCTGCCTCCTCTGTTCCCACCTCTCACTTTATTTAACACCATGTTTGTAACAGTAGCTAAAGACAGGTTTGGCACCAAACAGGCAGAGTAGGCTCAGAGATTAATGAAGGTCAGTCAGGAAATGAGTAGCCACAGTAAGGAGGGTAGTGTTCCAGAAAGGAAGCAGTGGTAGTTCAAAGGTCAAAAAGGGAGGTCATCATATCTGGCTGGCTCATGCATTTTTGGATGCTCTCCTCCCATGCAGAGGCTCAGAGTCTCCTTCTGAAAACAGCAGTGTCCTTTAATGAGTCTCCAGAGGCAAGAACGAGGTCTTGCACTGGCCCCATCATGAAGGATGACTGGAGCCTTCTTGAAGTTGCCCAGAAAGCAGAAGTTGTGGTGAATGGTGTTTTTCCAGCCATCTGGAGCTGTCTGGAAAAGGGGGAAATTCTGTCGGGTGAAACTGTAGATCCCTCGCACATTGAGGCCATGGAGGGTTGGGTGGGGGGCTGTTTCTTAATGCTAGGGCCATTAGGTGGCTGTAATTGTTGGGGGTGGGGCATGGCTAGGACCTCCTCTCCTGGCTCTTGGCTTGCCACAGCTTTTGGCTCTGAAAGCACTCCCTTTTGTTATGTGGCTGGAGGGACACAGAAGAGTTGTCCTCTTGTTCCTCAGCCTCCTCCTCTGTGAGCTCCCAGTCACTGGGGGAAGACGTGAAGTGCTTCTGTGGAGGAGACTGCTTACTGAAGGAAGATGGCAGGCACTCCACAACTGCAGCCTCTGAGCAGTCTTCATCCTTTGATGGATAAGGGAAAGAAGGCATGCTTGTGAAATCCTTTTTTTTTTTTTTTTTGTCCCCTGGGCTTGGAGGATGCTTGGCTCCTGAAGGGGCACACAATGTTGGGATTCACCCACATTCACAGGTTGGGTTCAGAGTGAGGACCATCTTTGTCAGGACTGGGTCTCCTTTCCTGTGGCACCTTTGAGGGCTTCTTTACTCAGAGTCTGTATCTGGCAAGGCTCTGCTCAGCTCAGGGGCGCTGGTCTGTGCTTCAAGGCAGGAAGAACTCAATCTCCATGTCCCAGACCAGCATCCCTGTGATTTGATCATGGAGGCTGTACCAGAACTCATGATTTTTTTAGTTTTAGGTCCATCTTTGGTGGAGGGAGACGTCCAAGAGGACAGAGGTATCTCAGGCAATTCTCAGAGCTTTTGATGGGGCACTGTTTCTGATATAGTATATCTCATCTAGGGAGCTTATCAGGATACCAAGTAGAAGAATCGGAAAAAGGGCCACCAATGCCTCACTGATTAGTGGTCAGACTTGGAGAAACTTCAGGCTTCTGGAACAGAGCTCAAAACAGAAAAGTAAGTAAAAATATTTTCAGCAGGAAAAAAAGGTGGAATTCCTGAGCTTTCATTGGAAGCAGGAAGTCCCCATGTGAGGACCTACAAACTTTGAATTACGTACAAACAAACATGACTTGCATAACAGCTGATTATCTGGCATATCTTTCAACTCTTGCTGGGTTCATTTAATGAAGGAGAACAAACAAATGTACAGATCACATTATATTTCTGAGTTGTCCTTAAATGGTTTAAAAAATCATTTCATTTTAAAGTGCCTTTGTACTTCTTTCAAGTGCTTTCACATAGATGATCTCAACTGATTTTCATGATAGCACTGCAAGAAACATAGTAGATATTATTAATTCCATGTCACAAACATGGAAACTGAGATCTACAGAATATTTAAGACTACAATACCTAAGTAAGTAGGAGAGCTAGATCCAAAGCCCAGGTCTTACCCTTTCACTATACTCATTGCCACTTGATCGCATTGAATATACTATATAAAGCAGGTAGGGATATTTGCAACCTGAGTTTAAGAGAAAGATGGTAACTATCAGAAGATGGCCTCCATTAGTCTCAAACCGATGCTAGAACCCAATCTTGTTGTTATTTTCAATCCTACTCTGGGAAGCAGCTGGCTTCCCTCCCTCCAGGTTACCTTCTCAGGGAATGAGTTCTGAACTATATTGTGAAGACAGTAAGACCAAAGATTAGCCATGTAATGCAAGGTCCTAAAACCCCCAGAGCTTCTTTTCCAGTTAGTTCATAACAAGGACATTTGTAAGAAAAACAAAACGGGAAGGTTTCATTTAATCTGGTAAAACAGATTAGCGCTGATGGTCACACATAATAATCAGGTAGAAATATGTCCAGTAGGGTGTTGCATGTTGATTAACAATATAATTTAAAGAAGAGAACTCCTAAGAAGACTCAATCACTTATGTTCTAGGAAATGAATCCTCTAGGAAGTCCTACTAATTATAACAAAATACAAATAAGGACATAAACCTGAATAATGCTAACAGACCAAATAAATATAGCAAAAAGGCAGGGTAATGGGTACTACCCAAACACGCATAAATTAAACAATGCTTCATATTTGTTAGAAGCAAGTCAAAAGAAAGAAAGAAAGAAAGAAAGAAAGAAAGAAAGAAAGAAAGAAAGAAAGAAAGAAAGAAAGAAAGAGAAAGAAAGAAAAAAAAAAGAAAGAAAGAGAAAAACACACAAACAAACAAAACAAACCTCTGTGTGAAAGACAGGGAATTAGAAGTACCATGAGGTAAAAACCCTTTTACTAAAAGGATTTCAGCCAATACCTTGTGGTTAAAACTCTGAACTACCCAGCCATGTCCTATGACCCCCCAAGAATCAATTATTTGATAACATATATTCTGTTACCTCGGCATGTCAGACGTGGTATTTCTCTTTTCCTCTCAGTTGGGTAAAATTATTGAAACCCTAAGAAAATGTAAAAGTAGTGCAATTACTGGGACCCTGGGAACATTTAAAATAAGTGTGACATTAACTGAAGGAAGGAAAAATGCAAGGGCAGAAATAAAGAGGAAATAAACTAAACCCAAGGTGTTCATGTTTTAGAATAGGCTTAACCGTAAGTGCACGCATATATTTTTAATCATTGTATTTGTGTTGATTTCATGTTATTAAAGCTATTTGAAATGTTTTTTTAAAAAGCCATGTCAAATTTGTAGTTTTTTTCTCTTAATTTTATTTTGTCGATATACAATGAGGTTATTGTGGCCCATTACCGAAGCCCCCATTCCTCCTCCCTCTCCACTCTCCCACCCAACAATGTCCTTTCTGTTTGCTTGTTGTATCAACTTCAAGGAATTGAAGTTGTTAAGTCTTCTTTCCCCACCACCACGGGTTTCTTGTGTGTCTGTGAGAATTTATTTATTTATTTTTAGCTCCCACCAATAAGTGAGAAGATGTGGTATTTCTCTTTTTGTGCCTGACTTGTTTCACTTAATATAATTCTCTCAAGGTCCA